CTTAAATCATGACTGCGCTAGATGCTAGAATTCTTTGCTTGCATGTGAAATTTTGTTTCCTTGAGCAATTAAGTTGGCCCTTGATAGAGTTATTAATTATTTGTGATAATTTCTGCTTTGGTTTTTCTTGCAGGTGTTGTTTTCAATGAGATGAAAGGTGTCTATTCCCAACCTGATAATATATTAGAACGAACAGCCAAACAGGTAATTGTCCTAAGTATCTCATAACTTATTTATACATCTTTTAATGCTCTGGTTACCTGGCTACTTTCTATTAAGCAGCCATCTCTTTCTATGCACTTAATTTTTCATGATTAACTGCAAAGAATCAACTGAATTTTAACAATAATATGATTTGTCAATGAAAGGAATTAAAAAGGAGAAACAAAGAAAAGATTCATTTTATTATATTGATTAGTCACACCAGCTGCCCTTGTTCTTTTACTTATCGTCTAAGCTGCTTGTGCCAAATGTCTAAATGACAGATAATTTTATCTTCCCTTTTTTTTCCTTTTCAACTATTGATGTAACATCTGCGCAGGCTCTCTTTCGAGATAATACCTATGGTGTTGATAGTGGAGGTGACCCAAAAGTTATTCCCAAGCTGACTTTTGAGGAATTTAAGGTTTGCAGTCCTCATTTGATACACTTGATCTTTTACTAAATAATGTGTTTGAAGTTAAAAATGGTTAGGGAATAGGCATTTTATCTCTAGTGTCAATCATAACTCATCATTGCTATTGAATGAAATAATCTTTGTTGGTTTGTTTTTCTCTCTTTTAGTTTCTCCAAAATTTTCTGAGTAGGCAACACTCTTGTAGCCTTTTAATTATGGTAGAAATTGTAGTGTTGTGTGTTCATATAATTTATTTGTAACTTTTCACAACATCCAGTTGGACAAGGAGGGTTTTCTTACCTCTAGGTAGCTTCACATTTTTGTTATTTTCTGACTGAATTAATGTCATTTTCAAATAACCAAATGCTTTACATTATATTGTTGCTTACTCCCTTTTGATCATTTGTAGTTGCAATTTGATTTCCATGAAGAACAACAAAGGTCAGTTGAACTTGCATGTGGACAGATGAATGAAACTAGAGATGTTTGTAATGTCTATTTCAATGTATTGGAAATTGGAAGTGTGGCTACCATTGAGATTATATTGTGGGTTATTTTATCCAAACAGTGCTGCAGATGATAGAACCTTTAATTTCTTCTAATGGGAACTTCTGCCAGAATATTGCAAACTTATTTCTTTCTAGTTTCTGACTTCTCTTTGAGAATGAGATGATCTGTGACATGATTGGCATAAATTTTTTAATTTCCTTTTTTACTTGCCTGGAAGTATGACATTGTATTTTTTATTATTATTATTATTATTACTAAAGTCTTTTCTGTTTACACAGCATTTTTGCATTTTATTTTGCATATATACCTCATTTCTTTGTGAAAATGTGGAGCATTTGCTCTCATTGTTAATGCTGTTAATGATGTGCTTTCTATTTCTGAGTCGAAATTACAGGAATTTCATCGTAAATATTACCATCCAAGCAATGCCAGGATATGGTTCTATGGAGATGATGATCCAAGTGAGCGCCTTTGGATCCTTAGTGGTAATGATTCACGTTGCCATTGTTGGTGGATCATAATCATTCAAGCCTGACTCATTTTTTCCTTAATGTTTTTCACATTTCTCACTTGCAAAATTTGGGATAACTTTGTCATGATGAAAATTCATGCAGGGCATTAGTTACAAAATGGATAAAATGTAGAGGATGGTTGTTTTGTATATATTATGAGTCTTATAAAGCCAAACCATATTGGCCAATGTACAGTTAACTGAAATTCCATGCTAAATATTGTTTTACCATAGGTGGTGTCTGCACCCTAACTTAAGTGGAAAGCACTATAAGCCTTTTAATTTATTTTTACTCTTATACATACTATTAGTTTCTTATTTTCAAATTTTATCTAAAAAATTTTCTTCCCTCTTCCTTCTGAGGCAGTAAAAATCATATTCTCCAGATTGTTAGTACATAATGCTTGTTCGAGCAGTCCTTGCTGATTATTTACCTTCCATATGTATTTAAATTGTTTGTTCTTATCTGTGCTGAGTGAAACAAGAGGCATAGGACTCCAATTCATGCTGTTGCAAGTTACATCTCTCTCATTCCTTTCATCCTCTTTTGCAGAATATCTAGATATGTTTGATGCAAGTACAGCACCAGAAGAATCAAAGGTTGGCCCACAAAAGCTTTTTGCAGAGCCAGTCAGGATTGTTGAGAAATACCCTGTGGGTGAAGGTGGCAATCTGAAAAAGAAGCACATGGTATCCCATAATTGGCTGCTTTCTGATAAACCATTGGACTTGCAAACTGAACTTGAGCTTGGCTTTTTGGATCATCTTTTGCTGGGAACTCCTGCTTCTCCCTTGAGGAAAGCCTTGCTAGAAAGTAGTTTGGGAGATGCAATTGTTGGTGGTGGGGTAGATGATGAACTTCTTCAGCCTCAATTTGGCATTGGGTTGAAGGGGGTCTCTGAAGACAACATCCTAAAAGTAGAAGAACTAATTATGAGCACACTTCAAAAATTATCAGAGGAAGGATTTGACAAAGATGCTGTAGAGGCATCTATTAACACAATTGAGTTTTCACTCAGGGAAAACAATACTGGATCCTTTCCTCGTGGCCTGTCTTTGATGCTTCGGTCCATTGTAAGTTTTGTATTCCTAGCTTTAATGGCTAAATAAGTTGTTCCTCCTACCTAATTTATTTGTCTGTAAATTCGTAATTGAATTTTTTATTCTTTTTACAGGGTAAGTGGATATATGATATGGATCCTTTTGAACCATTAAAATATGAGAAACCCTTAATGGCCCTAAAAGCCAGGATAGCTGAAGAAGGCTCCAAAGCTGTTTTCTCTCCTTTGATAGAGAAATTCATCTTAAATAATCCTCATCGTGTGACCATTGAAATGCAGGTATTCTTTTGACTCTAACTTTGCTTATTACTGAAATTTGATAACTTATTTTCATTAAATAAGATAACGATGGTTGTATTTCGTGCCAGCCTGATCCAGAGAAAGCTTCTCGTGATGAAGCAGCCGAGAAAGAAATTCTTGAGAAAGTTAAAGCTAGCATGACAGAGGAAGACCTAGCTGAGCTAGCACGTGCTACACGGGAGCTAAAAGTGAAACAGGAAACTCCAGACCCTCCAGAGGCTCTAAGAACCGTTCCAAGCCTATCTTTACATGATATTCCCAAAGAACCGATACGTGTTCCTACAGAGGTTAGCATAAAGCTAGAACCTGCATATCCTCTGTCTATGATACATTCAAGTCTGCTTGTGTTGAGTATAACAAGATTTCACTGCAGATAGGAGATATAAATGGTGTAAAGGTTTTGCAGCATGATCTTTTCACAAATGATGTGCTTTACAGTGAAGTTGCCTTTGATATGAGTTCACTGAAGCAAGAGCTTCTTCCTTTAGTGCCACTATTTTGGTGAGACATTGCCTTAAAGGCTATATTTTTCTTCCTTACTTTACTAGAATGGTTGTATTGTTACTGTTTGCTAATTTTAAGTTTGTAACACGGATTTCTGTGCAAGTCTCAAACTATGAGATGCTGGAAATTTGGTCAATTTCTTTTGGATATTTTATCTATGTGTCTCCACATCATTAAATGGGACTTCTACTTGTTAAAGCATCATTCCAAATATTAATATTCACATCAATTATCATCTTCTGCCATTCAACTCTACTGTGATCATCTGTTGAATGGCAGATAATAATGCCTTTTTTGCATCTCAACTCAATCAGTTCCTAACCTTTCTCATTCCATTTACAGCAACTTAAACTACAGATGGTGCAATTAATTGTTCTTCTTTGCCAATAATTGCATGTTGGCCAACTTCAATACCTATAAATGCAATAATTTCCATATTTTTTTCCTTGTTCTTTTGAATGTCTCTATTACAGGTAACAGAAAAGTGACTTCTTATAACCATTGATGAGTGATTGTCCCCTCTTCAGTCAATGGTTATAAAATGTGCAGTCCATGTGCAGGGTGGACTGCAAAACTGCATACCCTAGAGTTAAATCTCTCATTCCTTACTTCGTAGTCAGGCTTGCTCCATTTCGGTCCTCTGTGCTCCATTTTCATTATTGTTTGAATCTATATTCCAGAATAATTTTTCTTTTGGAGCCTTCTTGTTGATTGCCTTAGTAACTGACATCTTTGGTCGATACCCAGGCATGAAGTTCAGCTGACCTTTTAGTAGTAGTCTTCTTTCATTTCTGTGACCTAATGCTTTATAATTTCTGGTCTAATAAATAAATGTGAAGCAAGAGAACAATCCTTAAATCAATTCTTCAAACAAGAATACCTGTGTTTGCAAACTTGTCATGATATTGTGTTTTCTATATCTTTGCACTCTGCATGCTTATTCTGCATGAATACTCTTTAAATATATATTTTTTTTTCAATAGTCAGTCATTGCTGGAGATGGGTACAGAAGACTTGACCTTTGTCCAACTTAACCAGTTGATTGGGAGGAAAACGGGAGGAATTTCAGTTTATCCATTCACATCATCTGTGCAGGGGAGGGAAGATCCATGTAGCCACATAATTGTCCGTGGTAAATCCATGGCTGGCTGTGCTGAAGACCTATTTAACCTGGTATACTTCATGCATTTCACTTTTGCAACTTGTGGCATTCTAAATATTTTTCAGATGGCTATGATTTATTACAAGAATTTCACAAAGTGGCTTTCTGCTAGTTGTCTATGATATTTCTTTCCTTTTTCCAATAGTCAGGCTATGCTGGGGCAGTAGTTATGTTATTTCTTTCTCTTCTTTTTCTTTTTTGGCTAGAGTTATGCTATTCCTTTTGTCCCTTTTTCATTTACATTTGGGATAAAACAAGGATTCCCTTGTTTTCTACCTGTAGAGTTCATCAGTGATACCTTTGACTCAATTTCGATATCAATTCTTCTACTGTAAACTGGAAATCTTTGTTGGATGAAATTTTGTTGAACAATTTGAAGACAAATGACCTTTTTGAGATAATCGGTAAATAATCTCCTCACCTATTGCAGTTTTAATGGATATTCAATTAAAAAAGGAAAAAGAACTGAGGAATAATATTCTATAAACATAATTATTGGAATCTTTGTTTATTAAAGTTTTGTTGTAAGTACTACAGCCTCTAAGATCATCCGCAGCAATACTTTTCTCTACATTGTCTTCATAATTTCTTCTTTAATAAGAGTTTTGTGAACATATTTGTCATATTAGGATGTGTTTTTTTATTCTTGGACTGAATATAATTGATTATATATTGATCTTGATCTTGGTCCCATGCTTTAACTCATATCATTCCAAATGACAGTTTTTTACTAACTGAGTGAGCTATGCCTTTCAAAAGATATACTGCCTAAAGCATATGTTTGTGTTTAACTGTAGATGAATTGTGTTCTTCAAGAAGTCCAGTTTACAGACCAGCAGCGGTTTAAGCAGTTTGTTTCCCAAAGCAAAGCGAGAATGGAGGTATTCTCTTTGGAATTTTAATGTGCAGGGGGGATGCATGACTGAAACATAATCTGATCTAGCAGTTTATACATATTTCAGGATGAATTAAGAGGCAGTGGTGATGAAATTGCAAGAGCAAGGATGAATGCAAAGTTAAATATGGCTGGGTGGATTTCTGAGCAAATGGGTGGAATCAGGTTCGAAGATTTTTTTATTTTTTTTTAATTTTTTGAACCACTTTAGACTAATCTTACTTTCTATAGTGTCAAGAATCAACTTCTAAGTCCAGAGTTTTTAACAAGAATCACAACTTGCCTTGGGTTTGTTTTATGTGACAAGTTTACAATGAACTGTGGTTCTGTTTGTAGTATATGAGCCTTGCTGAATGGCTGAATTTGTTTCTAAAAACCATTCTGAAGTTACTCAACTGAAAAAAAAAAAAGAAGAAAAAAAAAAGTAGGAATTCTATCCCTTTGAAGATTCTAGTTTCTGTATGGATAATTTTTTCCTCTTTAATATATATAGAAAATCAATAGCAAAGGATGACAATGAGATAGGATAAGAAAGTTGACGGTGTTATGTATGAGGTCAATAGCGGTGCGTTGTGTGAAAGTTGGTTCAGGTACACCTTGATCATAAATAGTTGACGGTGTTATGTACTCTGTCTCTGATGTAGTTACCTGGAATTCCTGCAAGCTCTGGAAGAGAAAGTGGATAATGATTGGGATGCAATTTCATCATCTCTAGAGGAAATCCGCAAATCCATACTTTCTAGGAAAGGTTGCTTGGTAAATATGACAGCTGACAGAAAAACTCTCACAGACACCAAAAAGTTTGTTAGCAAATTTCTTGATTTGCTTCCTAGCAACTCTCCTGTAGAAAGAGCTAGTTGGAATGCTCGACTTCCTCCAAACAATGAAGCCGTTGTGATCCCCACACAGGTGAAATAAATGTTATCCATTCTCATTGCCCTTTTCTCTTTTTCTTATTTATCTGAACAGTTGGTTATAAACCTTCATCTTTTACAGGTAAATTATGTCGGAAAAGCAGCTAATCTTTATGATGCTGGTTACCAACTTGATGGGAGTGCTTATGTTATTTCAAAACACATTAGCAATACATGGTTGTGGGATCGTGTGCGTGTTAGTGGTGGGGCTTATGGAGGTTTCTGTGACTTTGATACACATTCAGGTATAATTAAAGATGTGCTGTTTGTTTGGTAGCCTATTCTAGTCTCTACTTCTAGAATATTAATACAGATTCTCTCCTGCAGGTGTACTTTCCTTCCTATCTTATCGAGACCCAAACTTGCTAAAGACTCTTGATGTGTATGATGCGACTGGGGATTTTCTGCGTGAGTTGGAGATGGATGATGATACACTTACCAAAGCAATTATTGGTACCATTAGTGATGTGGATGCATACCAGCTGCCTGATGCAAAAGGTTATAGCAGGTATGGAGACCTCCTTATTTCCACTAATATTGTAAACAACTTAGAAGAGACTTTTATGAGAAGAAATTAATAGAAATTCTAAATGAGATAACTTGAAAGCATTGTAATATATTCTACTTGTGTGGGCTCAGGTCTCATTATTTTGTTTCAAAAGAAATATCTTCTGTTTTTTATGTCACTCCATCTAGAGATCAAGTTTTGTCCGTTAAGTTTATAGAAGCCAGCTACTCCATTCAAGTAAAAGATGTTTTGTGCTGGATATTTGCATTTTCATTTCTGAATTTCTGAAGTAATACGCTTGATATTTAAATGGCAAAAGGTGCAAAATTTCCCCCAAAATTGTTGCGTTAAAGCAACTTGTTACTCAAAAAAAATATTGACACAATTTGGCACCCCAAATTTCTATTTTCAAGAGCAATAGTTTAATGAAGTTTAATGCCAACTGTTAAATTTGGGCCAACTTCTTAAAAATGAAAATTTAGGATGGCTAATTGCATCATCTTTTTTGGGTGGTGATTTACTTCAACCCAATAATTTCGGGGGGGAATTTGCACATTTGAGGCAAGCCATGTAATCTGATAGTAGTAAGCTCAGTGGTATTATCAAAATGTGTAGAAGGTTCAACCTTTCTGAATGAACAATTGTTGTTCTTTTCCCTTTCTGCCTTTTCTGAAAATTTTTACATTATGCCTCAGTATTGATTTGAGCTGTTTTTACCAGTTTGTTGCGGTATTTACAAGGGATTACTGATGAAGAAAGGCAAAGGAGACGTGAAGAGATATTATCAACAAGGTAAATCTTGTTTTTAACTCATCAGCACGTGCTGCACTGATAAGATTTTGAGGCATTTTTGGATTTGTGCCTACAAGGCTTCATGATATGTTAGAATTAGAATTGTATTATCTAATGCTGGAAAGTAGGCGCAATAGAAATGCGATATTCATGCTTATATAATAATTATTAAAATGACACAGATTACAAGAGGTGTTAGTGAAAAAGAAAAAAATATTACTAGAAATTACCGGACTTTCCCAAATTTGAAAGGGTAGTGGTTGAATTGCCACCAGTGGTCTGGTGAGCTGGGGTTCCTTATCCCCGAGGAAAGGGGCACACACACTGCATCATTGGGGGGGGCTAGCTCTATTTATTGAAAGAAAAGTATTGCAGGTTCTTTTAGTTCGTTTCAGAACGTTCTTTTTATTGTCTGAGGAATCGTAATTTTCTTCTTTTTTTTTTTTTTTTTTGGCCCCACAGTTTGAAGGACTTTAAAGAATTTGCCGATGTCATTGACGCGGTGAAGGACAAAGGAGTGAGGGTTGCAGTGGCATCACCTGATAATGTTGAAGCTGCAAACAAGGAACGATCTAACTTTTTCCAAGTGAAGAAAGCTCTCTAATCCCTTCAAGAACTGCTTTAGACATGAACTAATCTCCCTACAACGTTTGTCTTTTCATCTTAGGTTAAGAAACCCTTAACTAGAAATATTGTGGGGTGGATTAAGGGATTGGAGAGGATTGCCTCTCTTGCAATCCAAGATCAAAAAAAAGGGAACAATACAGGAAAACGGGAGAAAGTCCACAGCAGCTGCAATCTTTTCAATTCATTTAAGAGGATCCTGAAACTATAC